ATGGTGATTAATATCCCCCTTTTACATAGGTGGACATTAAGGCAGTTCAGTGACTTGCCTAAAGCTACACAGCAGGGAAGCGGCAGAGCGGGGATTGGAATGAAGGAGTTTCCAAGTTCAATGCACTGACTAGGCCATGCTGCTTACGTGCCTTCCTGTTTAGAAACTCAAGAGTCCTATTTCGTTTGTACCCATTTTATGCTGGTGTAACCCTAATGATTCCAAGTCAACTGAAGAGAAGAGTGAAGGGGGATTTGGTAGCAGCCTTCGACTACCTGAAGGGGAGGCTCCAAAGAGGATGGAGTAAGGCTCTGCTCAGTGGTGGCAGATAACAGAATGAGGAGCAATGGTCTCAAGTTGCAGGGGGGAAAGATCTAGGTGGGATATTAGGAAAAACTATTTCCCTAGGACAGTGGCAAAGCACTGGATGGGTTCCCTAGGGAGGTGGTGGAATCTCCATCCCTAGAAGTTTTTTTAAGTCCTGGCTTGACAAAGCCCTGGCTGGGATGATTTAGTTGGGATTGGTCCTGCTCTGGGCAGAGGACTGGACACTGTGATCTCTTGAGGTTGCTCTCTTTTAGCCCTAGGATTCTGTAACCCACACACCTAATGTGGTTACTAAGCAATGCTAGGGTACGTCTAAACTACATGGCTCCGTCGACGGAACCATGTAGATTTGTTTGTTTGGCAAAGGGAAATGAAGCCGCGATTTAAATAATCGCGGCTTCATTTAAATTTAAATGGCTGCCGCGCTGAGCCGACAAACAGCTGATCAGCTGTTTGTCGGCTCAGCGCGGCAGCCATGTAAATTTAAATGAAGCCGCGATTATTTAAATTGCAGCTTCATTTCCCTTTGCCTACAACCCTCATCTACATGGCTCCATCGATGGAGCTATGTAGTTTAGACACAGCCCAGCTAGCATCAAGAGACCTCTACAGCATGGGCTATGAAGCAGCTGGCTTTTAGCTCTGAGGATAGAGGCTCCTATACTTAGCTCCAAAAGTCAAACAGCTGATCAGCTGTTTGTCGGCTCAGCGCGGCAGCCATGTAAATTTAAATGAAGCCGCGATTATTTAAATTGCAGCTTCATTTCCCTTTGCCTACAACCCTCATCTACATGGCTCCATCGATGGAGCTATGTAGTTTAGACACAGCCCAGCTAGCATCAAGAGACCTCTACAGCATGGGCTATGAAGCAGCTGGCTTTTAGCTCTGAGGATAGAGGCTCCTATACTTAGCTCCAAAAGTCCCAGGTTCAAATCCACCTTGTGGTGGTTACAATTCCATAACAGGACTCTTAGCTGACCAAAATATTTTGCAGGACTTATAGGGGCTTTTTGCAGGGTAAAGGTAGATGAAGATGGTGGTACTATGTTGAAGATAATTTGAGGCAGCCAATGTATTTTCTTGGAGAATTGAGTGGGAAAAATTGGATGCCAGCCATATATGTATGACAGCTTGCCTTAATCTTGCAAATGTTTACTCATGTGCTTAAATAAAAGCAGCATGTCTCAGTGCACAAAGCACTGACTAGGGTTGGGGATTCTTTTCCTATCTGCGATACTGACTTCCTGGATGACCGTAGGCAAGTCACTTTCCCTCTCTGTGCGACCTGTAAAATGAGGACAATGGAACTGAGCTCTTTTGTAAAGCCCTTTGAGATCTACTGATGAAAGTCACTACATAGAAACTAGGAATTCTTATCAAAAGTCGGCAGACTGAGTTCAGTGGGATGACTTAAGGGAATAAAGTAAAACACAGGCCTAAATGTCTGCACGGCTGAGGCTGACAGATGCAGTTAGCTGAGCTTCCTCTTCGGGCCCTGAATGAAAGGTTCAATTCATGGCTCACCAGAACGCTGATCACATAGGAAAAGAAAAGAGAGACAATTATTCCCCCTCCCCACTCCTAAACAGACTCTATATCTGTTATTCTGACATTTTATTTATCTCAAACCTAAGCTTATCTTGCTCCTGTAGTAAAAAAGCACCATCTTCTCCTGAGTCTCACAGTGTAATCCTCTTTGTGATCCAACAGATAACGGGGAGAGGAAGAAAAATGAAACCTCAAATAATTGCTCGGCATGAGATAATCGTTGCCTCTCCCTGTTTTCTCTTTCTTGAATGAATAAAATAAATAATAAAGCCCCAAGAATGGTGAAAAAAAGTCTGTGGAGAGGATCATGGTGTAATTAATGCCCCCTTCAGCTGGCAAGAAATCTCATTAGCTCACTTCAGAGGCGGCATCTCACTTGCAACCAGCAGTCTATTGATCCACTAAGGATATGTCTACACAACAGCCGCTACAAGGGCCCAGCTTTGTCATGTACAGGGGAACCGACAGCCACACCCGGCCCCTGGGCTAGCTGGAGTGAAGTGACTCTCTGCTCCCAGAAGGGGTGGGGCTTCAGGTGGAAGGGACGGAGCTGGGACCGCCGGCCAAGAGTGCCACCCCGAGTATGCCACACCACCACCCTTAACCGTTAGAGCTGCCAGGAGCACCACCTGCAGGGCTCCGGCGGCGATTTAAAGGGCCCAAGGTTCCAGGTGCCACCTCTGACATAGTAGCACTGGTGGCAGCTAGGAGCCCCACGCTCTTTAGAATTGCTGGACCCTGGAGCAGTTGCCCCCTTTCTCCTCCTACACTCTCGTCAGTGGGCCTGTTCATGTAGGGCAGGGGTGGGCAAAAAGGCCTCCGCGGGCCAGATCCGTAGGGCAGGAGGAGGCTTCCCGTGCTCCCCTGCCCCCCAGCCATGATTGGCCTGGGGGTGGCAGAACGTGCCAAGCCTCTTCCAGCTCATGAATGCCTAGTCGGAAGGGCGGGGGGAAAGGGGCTCCTGCACTCCCAGGCCAATCATGGTCTGGGGGTAGTCCCGCCCCTTCCCATTTAGGCCCCACTCCTTCCTGTTTAGTCCCCACCCCTTTCCGGGGTGGCCCGGGGCTACTTCAATCATTTTATACGAGGCCCCTAGGCAAAAATTATTGCCCACCCCTGATGTAGGGCCATATTATAGACATTTTCTATATTGACAGAAGGGCATTTTCCATCTATACATTAATCCATGTCTTTGAGAGGTGAAAGCTCGTTAACTAGAATGAATTCTTCTGTCAGCCCAGCTGCATCCACAACCAGGGTTTAGGTTGACTTTACTAAAGCACTCGAAAAGCAACAGTTCACAGCCCTGAGACACAAAGTTGGGATTTTTTTTACATTGTTTTATGATTCTGGGTTTTTTTAATTCAAAACTACTTTTAAAAAATAACCTCTTACCTTATTAATTAAAAAATATTCATCTCCTGCTCCAGCCCCACAGGTCCCGTTGTGGACAGGGGCTGCTCTGGGTGTCTGGAGCTGCCCTTGTCCATGGTGACCAACGTGCATTGCAGGCAGCTGGGCTGGAGCGCCCCCTCTACTTAACCAGTTAACCATTAAACTTTACGTTTAACCGATTAACCAATTAAACGGATTTTACATCCCTAGTAGTAACTTGGAAAAACAATTTAGGGGCTCCCTGCTTTTCTATCCCCCCACAGCTTACAAGCAGATTCTGTTGACCTCAGCAAGAGTTACTGTTACACAACCAGAAAACTGGGAAGCCAGAAGACTTGGCAATTAGGCGGCCATCGGCTCTAACCACTAGATAACACTTCCTGTCAATCAGTACGCGTAGGCACACAATTCCATTTCAACACGCATAATGTGCCTGGCTGATCCATAACCCTCTACAAGAGAAGGGAACAAGGATATGTAAAGTGGTGATCAGTCACCCAGTGCTAACAACAATGAATGTGATCCAGGAAACCCTTAGGCTACGTCTACATTGGCCCCTTTTCCGGAAGAGGCATGCTAATTTTTCAGATCGTAATAGGGAAATCCGCGGGGGATTTAAATATCCCCCGCGGCATTTAAATAAAAATGTCTGCCGCTTTTTTCCGGCTTTTAGAAAAGCCGGAAAAGAGCGTCTACACTGGCCCCGATCCGGCCCGATCCTCCGGAAAAAAGCCCTTTTCCGGAGGATCTCTTATTCCTACTTCGAAGTACCACCTTGTTCCACGAGGTGTACCGGTAGTTCGGAATAGGAATCCTAGTCCGAACTACCTAGTTCAATCCCCATGTAGCCGCGCTGCACGGGGTTCGAACCAGCGGGGTTTTAAAAATGGCGGCTCCCCGCTTATGCAAATGAAGCCCGGGAAATTCAAATCCCGGGCTTCATTTGCAAGTGCGGTATGCCTACATTACCCCGCTAGTTCATACCCATAGTTACGAACAGCAGTGTTAGGAATCGACCAGTCAACCACACACCTAGTTTGGAACCAGACGTATGCAACCAGGTAGCAGCAGAAACCAACAGTGCAGTACTGCATTAAATCTAAACTACCAAAAAATAAACAAATGGTTTAAAGAAAGATTTGACAAAGTAAGGAAACTGTTTTTGTGCTTGTTTCATTGAAATTAAGATGTTTAAAAGCAGCATTTTTTCTTCTGCATAGTAAAGTCTCAAAGCTGTATTAAGTCAATGTTCAGTTGTAAACTTTTGAAAGATCCAACCACTGGAGTTTTGTTCAGAGTTACAAATATTTCGGAGTTATGAACAACCCTCCGTTCCCAAGAACTCTGAGATTCTTCTGTAAGAACACTGAGGCAGCATGAAGATCTTGTCACTGAAAACTGAAATTAAAGTGTGACAGATCAAAACATGGGGAGGGGGGTCGGTTGGGTTTCACTCCATGGGATAATTAATTCTGAATAGGACTGTGTGTTAAAAAAAATCCTAAAATGATAGTGACATGACATGCATTATCTAGTGAATAAGACGATCAGACCCGAGTCCCTTCATCCCCAAGAATGAGAGAACAGAGGAACTAAAGAAAGAAAAGGAGAGAGCTTAGCCATGAACCTTCCAGCATGTAAAAAATCCAATTAAATTCAATAAAAGAACTGTACTGGCGTGTTCCTGTTTAAGTACGATGGTAATTATTAGCTCAATTTATCTACGTACCTCCAAAGCGAGCTCTCCGTGATGCTCCCGAGGTTGTAGTCATACAACTTTGTCAGAATTAGAATCACCTGGAGGCAAAAGAAAAAAAATCATGGTTAGTCTGAAACAATTACAATCTCCTAGAACTGAAATGACCCGAGGGGAGGGTTTAGGATTCCTTTAATGGGTGCTTAACATAATTGAATGACTTGTTAAAGCATTTGCCTCGACTGACATGGGAAGTGTTCGCAGATGCCATATGTTGAACCAAGCAGACCGTTCCCTGTTTGATGCAGCTGTAACATCATACTGCAAGTTCTTCCCCCAGGAGGTAAAGCAGGTGAAGGGGATGGTGAATCAGACAAAATGCTTCTGGGTACGGGAGAAGATCCACAGTACGTGACAGATCGTGTGATTGCCTTCCATTGGGATTCTTACGCATGGAATCACCAGATTGGAATGGAACCAAAGTCCTTCTGGGCCAGAATCCTGTTCCCCAGGGTGGTCAGTAGCAGAAGAAGATGTAAGAACCCTGCAGAAGGTCAATGTGGAGTTATCCCCACCACCATCATCCCCAATAAAAGCCTTGTTGTAACCCGTAAGAAGTAGAGTGTGGCTTAAACCACACAGCATGAGGTTTAAGATCCCTTCCAACATTTTCCTTAGGGATTATAAAGTCTGGCAGGCGAGTGAAACGAGCCTTAGGATTCCATTAACTATGCCAGGTTTTGCTTTAAATTTAGGATTTCTGGGCCAGATCCTTTATCCCTTACTGACACAAGTACGATTTACTAACATGACTAGTCCTACTGTTCTTGCATAGAAAGAGGGGTAGGATTAACCGCTGGGCTTCCCGTATAAGCTTCCCGTTATTAGCTGTGAATACCATTATGCTGCCCTCTAGTGGTGGGCTCACAAAAGTGAGATAGAGACTCAACTGAGAGACATCTTGCCTAGCTCAGCTAATAGATGGTTATATTTTTAGAACTCAAGACCCAAAGTCACCCCATGAAGAGGTATGAGTGCATAATTTATCTAATAAGTGTGTCAATTTATGTTTTGTCTAATAATTGTGTCTGGGTTCATTCCACTCCCTCCATACGGGTTTGTAGAGTACCTAGCATAATAGAACCCTGATCTCAGGTAGAGCTGCAAGGTCTAGCTGCAATATACATAATTAACATTAACATATGGTATCACATTTTATCCAATACACTCTTCGGATACATCTAGACTAGCAAGATTTTGCACAAAAGCAGCCGCTTTTGTGCAAAAACTTGCCAGCTGTCTACACTGGCCGCTTGAATTTGCACAAGAGCACTGACTTTGTAATGTACAAAATCAGTGCTTCTTGCACAAATACTTTCACGCTTCCGCTCAGGAAAAAGCCCTCTTGTGCAAGAACACATAGTAAGAGATGGTCCCTGTCCCAAACTGTGTGTAGTCTAACAGTCAAAAAGCAGGAGGAAAAACAGAGGCACCAAGAGGTGAAGTGACTTGAAGAACGTCACCAAACAAGTCAGTTGCAAGGTAGAAGAAGAACACAGGTCTCCTGATTCCCAGACCAGTGCCTTACCCCCACCCTGAGTAGCTCACGTTCTGATCCAGAATTGGTCATTAATACATATACTGGCCTCAACAGAGAAACCAGGTGGACTTTGTAACCCTTTCCTCTCCTCACCCCATCTGCTATTTCCCCCTGCTTGCCTGCTTGCTTGCAAAATCAGGCCATTGACATGAGAGCTGGTAGCCATAGTGGGGAGGATCCACCTTTAAATTGTCACACTCTCTAAATAACAATAATAAATGAGGGTGAAGTAATTGAGCAATGACTCCAATGAGAGAACTCCAGCATCTCCGAGGGAGCTAGTTCTCTGTGCTCTTTCACAGGCGACAGTGTCATAGATAGAAGCCTGCATGGATATAAAATTGGCATTTGCATCTGCATCTTCGTCTGCAAAAATGATCTGTGGATATCTGCATCCATATCCGACTATATGGATATCCATGGATATCTGAGGATTTGAAGGGCTCTAGCCATAGAAAGATATCAAGGACAAGAGACAAACCCAACTGCAGGAAGGTTGATTATTCTGTATATTAGGCCACATCTCAGCTTGCAGGAGGATGGATACTCTGCGATCAATCCTCCGGGGTTCGATTTAGCGGGCCTACTGAAGACCCACAAAATCAAATGCTAAGGGCACCCCCATTTATGCCAGCACTCCTCGCTGGCGCAAGGAGTATGAGAAGTTTCTCCCATTAACCTCCTGTTGTGGGGGCGACACCAGAAAATCGGGGCAAGGTATGTTGACTCCAGCTACACAAGTCATGTAACTGGAGTTGCGTATCTTGCATTGATTTTCTCCCCCAGTGTAGACCTGGCTTTAGTAACAGTACATCTTAAAGAAGTATTTCATCCGATGAAGTGGGATTTACCGACAAAACCTCATTGATTCTCTATATAATATATATTTGTTAGTCTCTAAGGTGTCACAGGACTGCTCGCTGTTTTTAAATCTACGGACTAACATGGCTACCGTGTTACATGAGACGTCTTAAAGAGAATGCTAGCATGTGTGGGATGTCAGATGGCATTCCCACGGAGGCTGCATATTCTTAAGGGTGTGTGCCAATTAAGGCTTTGTACGTGCTAAATTTCAATCTGAACCCTCCCAGGAATGGTTACCAGTGGCCACAGGGCAGCTGTGTGTGGCAGATACAGAATTACGTTGTCACTGTCCCTCAGTGAATTCAGCAAACTGGCCTATTATTCCCCCGCTAAGAATATGGGGTGGGGTGCGTGGCTCTGTGTGTGAGAGAACAAAAAAATAAGCGATCATTTCTGTATGGTCGTTCTCCTGATTCGAGCCAGCAGTAACCTGCAAAATGATGTTGAATCATGAGCGCTGCACAGCTGCCTTCCTTCAGAAGTGGGAATGAAGGGCACGAGCAGTGACAAACCCCTTGGACCTGGGAAGTGACTGCATGAAACCACCTGCCAAGAGATATTATTTAATCTCTTCCCGCAGTAGCAAGGGGCATCTTTGTTCCTCTCCGCACCCTCCTCTCTACGCTAGCCAGTGAAACTGGAAATGCAGGCAACACACAGAGGCAGTTCATCCCCACAGCCAGAGAAGAAGCATTTTTCATTAGGGATAAAGGGGGTAAGGTAATATCTTTTAAAAGACTGACTTTGTCTAGCAAGAGAGGCAAGCCCTGGGAAAGCTCCGAAGCTCTGGGAAAAACACTAGGCCAGGTCTACCCTCGAGGCTGCTGGTAGAACTGTCCAGACTCCTGCGAAAAATGGAGGGGACCAGTTCCAGACCCCATAAAAGGAGGAGACTCAGGCCAAAGGGATGGGGCAACAAGGCAAAGGGAGGAGTCTGGGCCTGGCTCCCCAGAGCCAGCCAGCCAGTCAGCACAGCCCCACCCATGCCTCCATCAGTGATTTAAAGGGCCATTGGCTTTGGCCACTGCTGCTGCCATGGTAGCGGTGAGAGGATGGGAACTGCAGGCCCTTTTAAATCACTAGGCCCAGCTGCCTCTTTTGCTCTCCTCCCACCCCACTGGCAGTCCAAGGAACACATCTGCTCTTCCTAAATTTTTTTCAGAGGAGCAGACTTTTTTTTTTGGCATCCCTGTTGTCATGATTATGAGGGTTAGCCAGCACCCTGGGGATTAAGGAGTTAACTACATCTAGCAAGGTGGAGTGGCCAATAGGAATGTAGGTAGGACTTTCAAACTGGGACAAAGGAATTTGGGTTTTTCCCTCCTTTCTCTCTCGGGGTGAGTCCTCTGCAGCTACAGGGAGGGACAAGCATGTCTCTCTCTCTCTCCAAGAAACAATTCTTCACTTCTCTAAGTAGGGTAAAGTTTAGGTAGTTTCGTTAGGCTTTATTGTTTTAAGGGTTGGGTATGGGATCTGATATCTGGCACTGCTTAAGAGATGTTTGGCTTTTCTTTTTAACTAAGTTCTAGCCCATGGTGTAATTCCTCCATGAGTATATTTTGTTACCTTTCCATCTGATCCTTATGCTTGCAACAGTAATATTGTTGTAATAATAAAAGTTTTCTTCTTTCTTTTTATTAACCTGGCATTGGTTACTGTGTGTCCTGATTTTTATAATAGGAGTGAGATTTCCCAAATGATCTTTCCCCTGATCTCGTTATTAATATTTGGGTGGTGGCAGCAGAAGTCTTATTCCCAAAATCTAGGTTTTTAAGATTTTGGGGGAAGTTTTATACCAAAGCCTGGTAGATAAGGCTTTGGAGTACAGTTGCTGGCCCCCACTTCTGTATTTATCATGTCAGAGTGGGGAAGGAGCCATGACACCTGTAAACCTTGTTTTATAGGAAGAAGGGATATTCTGAAAAAGGGTTTTTTACAGACATTCAGCCCCATGTAGACGGGCCAAAAGTCGGAAAAGCATCTTCCAAAAAAAGAAGTGGAAAAAGATACATAAATTGTGGTTCACAATTTGCGTATCTTTTTCCAGAAGACTGTGTAGTCTAGACACAGCCTCTGAGGTGTGAATCACACCCCCAAGCAATGTAGTTATACTGACCTTAACACCCCCTCTCCCCACCGGTGCAGACACCGCCATGTTGACTGGAGGAGGTGCATTTGCTATTTTTCACTACAAAGCCACAGTGCTGCCCATGCAGTAGTTTAAGGGCAGACTTGCCCTAAGTGCCCGGCAGCTCAAAATAAGATCAAACAGATCGCACAGCATAAGTAGTTATGGAACCATTGATGGTGAAGTGACCTGTTAAAGCCCCCTTAGTCACAGGACAAAAAGCGGAGTTCAGGATCGTTCTAAGAAGCCATCAATCCAACGGCCCTTTATTAAAACCATGATTTTTAGTGTCTAGCAAAGTTACAAATTTAAGCTCCCAGGCTCCTCTCTTGAAAGTGCTTTGCCGGTTCTCTTTGAGGCTGAGGACTGATACAGAGTCTTCACTTTGTGGAAAGTGTACACCCACCGGTGATATTGTGTTTGTGTCTTTTATCAGTTTTCTGTATGAGTTCATTCCAGAGCATAGTGATTGTCTGGTTTCTCCCACACAGTTATCATTGGGACCAAAA